AATCCAAACTCAAATATATAGTAACTAGATATTGGACTATTTGTTCCTTATCTTTTTTTTTTTTTTTTTTGACAGGCAGAGTGGACAGTGAGAGAGAGAGAGACAGAGAGAAAGGTCCTCCTTTGCCGTTGGTTCACCTTCCAATGGCCGCCGCGGCTGGCGTGCTGCAGCCAGCACACCGCGCTGATCCGAAGGCAGGAGCCAGGTGCTTCTGGTCTCTCATGCAGGTGCAGGGCCCAAGGACTTGGGCCATCCTCCACTGCACTCCTGGGCCACAACAGAGAGCTGTCCTGGAAGAGGGGCAACCGGGACAGAATCCGGCACCCCGACCTGGACTAGAACCCGGTGTGCCGGCGCCACAAGGTGGAGGATTAGCCTAGTGAGCCGCGGCGCCGGCCAGGATATAACTTTTTTTAAAAGGTACTTATTTATTTATTTATTTGAAAGGCAGAGTGACAGCGAGCCAGACAGAGAAAGAGAGAGAGAGAGAGAGCCTTCTATCTGCTGGTTCATTTCCCAAATGGTGCCAATAGTCAGATCTGGGCCAGGTTGAAGCCAGGAGCAAGAAACTCCATCTTGGTCTCCCATATGGGTGGCAGGGACCCAAGCACTTGGGCCATCCTCTTCTGCCTTCCCAGGTACATTAGCAGGAAGCTGAATCAGAAGCAGAGAAGCTGGAACTCCAATTGGCTCTCCCACATGGGGATGCTGTCTTGCAAGCAGAAGCTTGACCCTCTGTGCTGCAACACAGACCCCTTATAGGATACATATAAATTTGACATATAAGGCTTTTCATAGTCTGACACTAATATATTTTTCCTAACTCTTCTTAAGTCATTCATTCCCATTCAATATGCACCCTAGCATCATTGTAATATTCAATATGCTTCATCTTCTGTTTAGGAAAATCCTCATTAGTCCTTCATGAACTGGTACAAATGCAAATGCTTGGGTACCTGGCACTCATCTGGGGACTTGGATTGACTTCCTGGCCCCCAGCTTTGTTCTGGGCTACCCTCCTCCCCATTCCTATTGTGAGCATTTGGGGAGTGAATGGATAGATGGGAACTCTGTCTATCTCTGTCTTTCAAATAAATGAGTAAATAAAATTCAAAATAGTTCTTATGTAGTGATATTAAGTAAGGCAAAATGCAATGTAAAGTGAAGCCTAACAGAAACTGAATATTTAGAAATGGAACAAACCATCGAAATAAAATGTATATAACTGGAATATAGCCTCAAGATTTGTAAATAAAAATCTAAAGTAAAAGGAAGAACTGACTCACTCTAAATGAAAGTTGACTGAACATAACTTAAGAAACATACTACATTGTTTCCATATCTTGGTTATTGCAATAATGCTGCAATGAACATTGATGTGTGATTTTTTAGAAGATGGCGATTTCATCTCTTTTGGGTACATAATTTGTTATGAATTTTGAGTATTAATATCTTAAATGTGGTTTGCAATCATTTTTTATAATTTTTTATATTTTATATAAGTTGTCTTTTCATTTTATTGTTTCCTTTTCTGTGCAGAAGTTTTTGGTGTGACATAGTCCCATTTTTTTATTTTTGCTTTTGTAATCTGAGCTTTTGGTGTGATATCCAAAAACCTGTTGCAAAAGCCAATGTCAAGGAGCATTTTCCCTAAGTGCTCTTCTAGAAGTTTTATGATTTTAAGTCTTTCTTTATTCCTTTTGAATTGATTCATGTATGATATAAGTAAGTTCTGATCTGACTACATGTTTAGTCATAGTCAATGTATGCGAAAATTCCCAACAGTTACTATAATTTTTCTGTTACTCTGACAATAAGAAAATCAAAAGAGAAATTCACTAAAAATAAAGCATGTCACAATTCCACATTATTTGGAAATTATAGGAACTCAACTCATGAGTTAAAAAAATGACAATGCACAAAATGAAATATCTAAAGCACAATGACAATATTTAAAATGGAGAAATGACACTGATACATTAAAACATGTGAAGTATTCTTAAAGTGATATTTACAAGACACTTATAGCCTTAATTACATTTATATATACAAGGAGTCTTCAAAAAAGTTCATGGAAATGTGTATTATAAAAATACTACATCTAGATTTCAAAATTGTTTGACATCAAAATAAACATCTTTAATTCCATTTTTTAAAAATCTTTTAAAGTACCATTGTATAAGGAGATCTTTTTTGTAAGGAATGACTTGGGTAATTATTTATGACTGTTGATAAGTCCAAAATATACAGATTCGATGATTTATTTTGAATCCACAAGTTGGTGTTCTACTGTAGAACAAGGAAGAGTCACTATCTTGTTCAGAGGCTATCAGGCAGGAGAATACTCTCTTAGTAGGTAGCAGTCAGCCTTTTGTTATATTCAGGTCTTCAAGTTATTGAAAGAGGCTAACCAACATAAATGGAAGTGATCTGATTTACTCACTCTACCGATGTTAATGTTAATCTTTTTCAAAAATGCTTTTGCAGAAATATCCAAAATAATGTTCAAATATCTTAACATCTCATAGCCCACTCATAAAATAAGATCAATCATCACAGTCCCTGGAAGAGAAAGGACAATGAAATGAAAAAGTAGTAAATTGAAGAGAAAGCCAAAAATAAAGCAAGTGATCAAGAAATCCAAGTAGTTTTTTTGAAAAAAAAAATAATAAACATCAAAATTCTGGCAAATGAGAAATGGCAAATAAAACAAAATATTTATAATAAAAGCATGATATTTGTGATGGCAAATTTTGTGTGTAAACTTGACTAAACTATAGTACTCAGATTTTTGGAAAAATACTCTTCTAGATGTTTAAGTATTTTGCGCTATCAATCCATTTTTCTTTGATTGACATAGAATTAGAATTGATCTTCTGTTAAATCAATAAGGTTTCTGAAATACATAGATGTTAGTAAATATTTTTCTTAAATCTCTAATTTTGAAATGTTTAAAAACTGCAACATCTTTTAATATTTTTGTTTAATTGATGACTTTCCAGTTTTCTAGCCAGCTCCAGTAAGCTCTCTTTTCTTCCCTACCTCTGACTCTGTTAAAATTGTTCTAATTTATTGGATAATTCCAACACTGATGCTACATTTAAGGTTTTATTTCTGATTTTTGGGATGACCAAAGAGACAGATTTTGTCTTCTATTGAAGTAATCTATTGTGTTCTCTACTGTCTCTGTTAAGTTCTCTTTAAGAACAGCTGAGTTTTAAGAGTTATGGTTTGTTTAAATATGTACTCATCCTAAAATATTTGAGTGATCATTTTATAACAATTATAAAATCTGGTCTATATTATGTCATGATGTTAGGGAATTCTATTGCAACCAGATATTTTAATCTTCTTGACATCTTCAATAGGCACTCAAAAAATCAAAGTTTTAAATTCTTCAGACTTTGATATTTCCAGTTGGGCCCCTGGAAATGTCAAAGGATGTATCTCTCATCTTGTAAAGACACCAACTACTTAGGTGATTTGGATTATATCAAAGGTACTGCCAAGATGTGAAGTGGTGCTAAATTTTAAGTTACAATAATGTAAAATGCTACTGATACACATTTCAAAAGTTACAAAAGTCTAATGATCTTGTTGTGTTGTTTTCAGTCATGATGGTTATCTTAATGAAAAAGACCCAGAAGCCTAAAAGGGATAAATGTTTTATAAGATCTTGCAGGTGGTTTAAAAAATACTGTGTGTAGGGGCTGGCACTGTGGTACAGTAGGTTAACGCCCTGGCCTGAAGCGCCAGCATCCCATATGGGTGCCCATTTGAGACCCAGATGCTCTATTTCCAATCCAGCTCTCTGCTATGGCTTGGGAAAGCAGCAGAAGATGGCCCAAGTCCTTGGGCCCCTGAACCCACGTGAACCCAGAAGAAGCTCCTAGCTCTTGGCTTCAGATTAGCGCAGCTCCGGCTGTTGCGGCCAATTGAGGAGTGAACCCGTGAATGGAAGACTTCTCTCTCTCTGTCTGCCTCTCCTCTCTCTCTGTAACTCTGACTTTCAAATAAATAAATAAATCTTAAAAAAAATACTGTGTGTAGTAAGTAAGTGCCTCTTCTCACTGGTTAATGAGTTTTATAATTTTATTTTTTTTATTTTATTTTATTATTATTTTTTTTTTATTTTTGACAGGCAGAGTGGACAGTGAGAGAGAGAGACAGAGAGAGAAAGGTCTTCCTTTGCCGTTGGTTCACCCTCCAATGGCCGCCGCTGCAGCCGGCGCACCGCGCTGATCCGATGGCAGGAGCCAGGAGCCAGGTGCTTTTCCTGGTCTCCCATGGGGTGCAGGGCCCAAGCACCTGGGCCATCCTCCACTGCACTCCCTGGCCATAGCAGAGAGCTGGCCTGGAAGAGGGGCAACCGGGACAGAATCAGGCGCCCCAACCGGGACTAGAACCCGGTGTGCCGGCACTGCAAGGTGGAGGATTAGCCTATTGAGCCACGGTGCCGGCCCGAGTTTTATAATTTTAACCATGGCTATTTAAAGTCTTTTGTCAGCCACAATTTTGTATTCTCCAAACAACTTACTGCTCATGGAAATTAAAAACATTGTTGGTTCTTCTGTGTTTAAATGTGTCCTCTTATATGTTCTGAAGGACTTTTCTCCTGACTTCTATTGTATTCAGTACTTTGGGACAGTTCTATATACAGATAAAGCCAAAGTTTAACAATGGACTCAGTTTCCATCTGAGAAATGTATGGTTAATTCAGGTAACTAAGAGCAAGAAGTAATTCTAGTCAACTTATGGTAGTTTTTAAAATAGCAGTTAAAGATTTTAAGAAGCTATTACTGAAGCTGCTTTCAGTCCTGTAATGGCTGTTATATGTTACACATGTGTACATATTATATGTCTACATAGGAAAATTTATTAAGAGCTCTGTTTTAATTGGCTTATAGATAAAAGATTGCTCATAAATTTAAACTGCTGAATTAACCCAAAATGCTTTTTTGGTTTATGTGACCTAAATAAAAGTCTGATAGATAGGTTGAAAGAAATTAAATATTTTTTTAAGTCACTGACATGTTTGTGCTTGGGTTTGCTGGTCAAGCAAGTCACACTTCTGTTAGATATTCAAGAAATATTTCCAACTACATGTACTTTTGTCTTAAAATTTACATAAGGTTTTGGGCCTTTTGGTAACTGTTTTTTTAATAAGTTGTTGATATTTGACAGCTAAAATTACTTTCTAAGTTCTCATTTGATAAAAAGTTACCAAGAGTAAGCAATCTGGGAGGTCTGACTTGTTCCCTCATTTCTCCTCTATTCTCTTCAAGATGGAAAAACTGACTATTCTGAAGGACTCTCCATTTGGATGTGTAGTTTGAATCCCCAGACCTTATAAAAGTGATGACTAATCTTTTTAAGACCAAAGAATATAGCAAAAAATGAGAGCTTGCATTATGGTATGATTTTACAGCTAGATTTAATTTATCATGAGCACAGTAAACAGGCAAAATCTCCCTCTTCAAATCAAACTAACATAGAGATACAAAGTTTTACTAATGATTCCAAAACTTATAGACAGGTTGGATAAGGTGGTCATCATGTTTGATCTTAGAAGGGCATAGCTTTCCTCATGGGCATTGGTAGCTTTGGGATCCGCAAGGAGGGAAGGCCTACACTTCTGGGAATGGAGAGGCCTACTTCCGGGGAAGAAAGTCCTTGGCAAGGTCCCTGTGGGTGCCTAAAGGTCAACCAATGAGGATCAGACCCGCCTCAACCTTTAACCCCCATGCCCTGAATCTATAAAAGGAGCTCTCCCAATCTCTGACGTGCGACTTCCCCGGCCCCCGCTCTGTTGCTCTGTTGGGACCGGAGAACCTCGCCCGGGAGCGGAACCCCAATAAAAACCTGTGAATTAATTGATTTGTCTGCCTGGGAAGATCTGTTATGCGCCGGACACCTTGCAGGCATCATCTTATATCACAGGAAAAACACTGTCAGAACACACCTGTGACTACAGATTTCTAGTTCAGGTCATCAAAGATTTGGGATGGAATTGAACACGCCCTTAGCTGACATCCTAAAGCCTTCCTCTGTTCTACTTTAGCAGACCAGGAGGAAGAAGAGTGAGTTAGGCAGCAGGAGCAAAGTAAGACTAGGTGGCAGGCCAATTAATAAAGCTTTACAGTGATCTGCCATCAAGGAGACCCAACACGGCCAGTTCACCCCAAATGGCATTGTTTTTCAATGTGGAAAGCCAGGGCTTTGGAAGGACACAGCAATCATGACAGAAGTTGGTTTCCAAAGACCCCTGTCAACTCTGTCAGCCAAGAGTCAAGGTCACTGGAAATGGAACTGCCCTGGAGTGTAAGGGATCCTAGGTCAGAGCTGCAGACCTTGTTGGCTCTAAGCTGAAAAAGCCCTTCACTCTGCCTGGCTTCCAAAGTAACCACCGCTATTAAGGGCATGGTCTAGCGTCAGTAATATTGCAGTCAGAACTGTACACTTCCTTGTAGAGATGCCACCTATTCAATAATAACCACCTATTCAGGCCAGCTTTTGTCCCAGGCCAGCTAGGTAATGGGTGTCAACAGGGTGTCTTTCCAAAAGGAAGCTCACATTTCCCTTGTGAGGCCTCTTGCATGTGAAGAGACAGTTAGGTCTGGGCCTCATACACCTGGCCAGGCCTTAATGCCCACCCGATTATTATCAAGCCCTTCCTGTCAGTTTCTATTTATCTCTCAATGGGAAAACTTCCTCCTTGTTTGGACAGCACCTTTCTTAGGTCCTCTAATGACTCTCTCCTTTGTTTTATACCCTGTATATTTAATCTGCTTGGTAGATTCATCTTCTCTAGACCTGAAGCAATGAAATTCTAGATGGCTATGCATATGAACTTTGAATGGAAGCAGTTTCTGCGAGGTGGCAAAGTGTCCTCCTCAAAAGACCACCTCCTGTTGGAACCCTGTCTTAACTGCCGCTCCCCATTCTGCCCCTACTCAGCTTGAAGAAGCCAGAGCAGTCATAATCCCATACCCCTAACAGAAGTTAGGGTCCATTCTTCTGGGAGAGGGAATGTGAGGAGTCAGATGGGTTAATGGGCAGTTAGGCTGGTCCCAGTGGTAAGATTTGCTTGTTTCTTCCCCAAAGCTTCCTTTAGCAAGACAAAAGTACCTATTCCACTCTTTGGGAGCTTCCAGTTTTATCATGAGAAGAGCAAGGGAGTGGAGATTCCACCCTTCTGAGTTTCCAGTTTATTGTGGAAACAGGAGTTGCCAATCCCACCTGGTGACGGTTTTTTGGTCTTATCGTGAGCAAACTAGATAGGACAAAATTAGAAATCTGGGCCTTTTGATGGGTTTTGTCCCTGCCTTCTAACTGATAGCAGCTCTTTCATTTTTTTTTCTTCCAAAATTGTGCTTAACACGCAGACCCTCATAGTTCAGAGGGCCTGCCTCTCTTGGAGTTTCCATCCTGGCCACTGGGGCAGGAGGTTTCTGACTTAAATAAATCTTGCTTTACTCTCTGTCTTGTCTGGATGGAAATTCTTTCACATGAGACAAAGAACCAAGGTAATCTTTCTCTGCCACGTTTCACACGTAACAAAATAAGAGCTTAAATTATGATGCAATTTACAGCTAGATTTATTTTGCCATAAGTACAATAAACAGACAAAACCTCTTTACAAAGCCACAAAGGGGAGAGGAAAGAGCCTTTTCTAAGTTCAGGAAGGGAAGAGGCTTTTAGACAGACTGTCAAAACATGCCTGTGACTGCAGATTTCTAAATCAGGCCACTAAAGATTAGGGATGAGACTAAACACCACCTTGGCTAACATCCTAAGGGATGCCACTGTGGTCTACTTTAGCTAAGACAAGGAGGAAAAAGAGCGAGCAGGTAACAGGAGCAATGTAAAGATGGGTGGCAAGCCAACTAATAACTGCTTTACGTCGTGTTCTACCATCAAGGGGACCCAATGAGGCCAGTCTGCCTCAAATAGCACCTGTTTTTGATGTAAAAAGCCAGGAGACTGGGCAAACAGCCATTGTGACTTTGTGATAGAAGCCAGCCTCTACAAAATATTGTCAGTTTTGGCAAGAGCTGAATAAACAGAACTGCCCCGGGGCTGAGGGACTCCAGATCAAAACCACAGACCCTGTCGGCTCCAAGCTGAAAAGAACCTTTGCTCCGCTCAGCTTCCAAAGTAATCATGCTATTAAGGGTTTGGCCTAGGGTTCATAAATTACAGGCAATACTGTAAGTTTGCTTCTAGAGATGCCTATTATACACTAATCTCCTATTCAAACCAGCTCTCCTCCCAGGCAAGCCTGGTAATAAAAGTCAATAGGGATGGCCGGCGCAGCGGCTCACATGGCTAGTCCTCTGCCTGCGGTGCGCCCGGGGTTCTAGTCCCAGTTGGGTGCTGGATTCTGTCCTGGTTGCTCCTCTTCCAGGCCAGCTCTCTGCTGTGGCCTGGGAGGGCAGTGGAGGATGGCCCAAGTGCTTGGGCCCTGCACCCGCATGGGAGATCAGGAAGAAGCTCCTGGCTCCTGGCCTCGGATCTGCACAGCAGTGCAGCTGCAGTGCGCTGGCCATAGCTGGCCATAGCTGCCATTTGGGGAGTGAACCAACGGAAGAAGACCTTTCTCTCTGTCTCTCTCTCTCACTATCTAACTCTGCCTGTCAAAAAAATAAATAAATAAAAAGTCAATAGAGTGTCTTTCCTAAAGAGATTCACACTCTATCCTTAATTACAGTACGTTTGTACTATGTTGCTATAACCTGTGCCAATGACCTCAACATAAATTCTGATTATTAAGTATTTTGTTTAAAATGTAAAAAAGGGGGGGGCACTAGATCGTAAACTTTCACAGCAGTCACATCTGTTTCTAGGCTTTGGTTGTTATTTCTAAATTTCCAGGTGCCTTGCTACCTGACAGCCCCCTGGAACTTTTGGAATTGTATCAAAGTTAGAGTTCCTCATCTCTAGAGTTACAAAAGAGCTGCATTTTTTAATAGCCTGAGACTAGGGGTGCATCTTGGACCTGACAACACCAAGCAAGCTGACCATTTGGAACAGATGAGCCATGTCCTAAGGGGCCTCCAAGTTTGATTATTTCAAGGGAGTTCCCAAGAATGACAGCCCTGTTTCACTCTGAAAATTGATCCACACATGATAAAATGTTTACCAGATCCAGCAAGTAACAATGGATAATCAGAACTATATGGGAAAACATCATGCGGCAAGGAGGAGAGAGCAGTTGTGGGCTGTGGGGCTGGGCCAATCAGATGGCTAGTCCAGGGTGTGCATGGAGCCATGCATTGTAGACAGAGGTACAGCACCCGGCTACCTGTGATGTGTGCTGCCCTGGCCACTCATCAGGAAACCTGAGCTGCCTGCTGACCCTGCAGGGGGAGATTAGTAGCCTTAAAAGCTGCAGGTAATAGACATCTGGATCAAGGCTGTGTGAGGAGTCAGATGGGTTAATAAGCAGTCAGGTTGGTCCCAGTGGAAAATGAGGAAAGGAAAAGAGGTGCGAAGTGCTTGTTTCTCCCCAAAAGTTATCTTTAGCAAGACCAAAATGCTGAATCCCATTGCGTGTTTCTTCCCTGAAGCTGCCTTTAGCAAGACAAAAGTGTCATCCCACCCTTCTGAGCTTCTAGTTTTATGAAAATAGAAAGAAGTTACCTATCACACCCTTCAGATGGCTCTTTTGTCTAGAGCAAGCTAGACAGGGCAAATAAGATTACAAATCCAGCCTTTTGATGGGTTTTGTGTCCACCTTCTAACTCACTGTGCTAGTTTTACCCCAAAATCGTGCTCACAAAAACCCAGCTTCCAGCTTCTTGGGGGTATCCCTCTCTTGCAGCCCCCCTGGCCCTCCAGGCCACTTCAGCAGGAGGTTTTTGACTTTAATAAGTCTTGCTTTTCTCTCTCTGCTTTGTCCACGAGGAAATTCTTCTTCCACATGAGACAAAGAACTAAGGTAGTCTTCTCCACCGCCATTTCGTCCCTAACAGCTGCAGCCCCACTCCAGAGTTCTGTCAAGTGGACAGTGACTGGATATTCTGCAAAACCCCTCAGAGTCACCCTCTGAGCCCACCACCTTGCTTTGGCCACACAGGAGGCTGGTCAAGCTATGCACTACTTTTGAGGAATCTACAGCCCTGCTCCAGTCACAAACTTGGGAGCTGACTGCTCAATGCACAGTGGAAGCTGGGATAAGTCAACAAGGAACACCTGGGGACTAGGGTTTCACTGTTACCCTATCCCATTGGAGCTAATGATAATATTAACATTGCTGTTGTTCATAGGTTTGGCTGAAGCAGCTCCAAAGAACTGGGGTAGCCACAAACAATTGCTCTAGTCATGTTCTATGTAGGGATAATGAGTCCATTGGGAGGAATATTTTGTTTCGTATAGTAGCCTATTATTTACCCAAAAAGCTCCTGAATACAATATCAAAGTGGGATAAGACAGATTAAAAAAAATTAGCAGATAGCCAGTGTGAACAGATGAGTACCCAGGTAAACTGGCTCCCTGCTAACCCAGCCAAGTGCCATCCCTGCTTGGCTTTGTTCTTCATATGTGCAACAAATGTCTGTGTATGTTTACCACATGGATGGAAAGGCATTTGCATCTTGGCTTTCCTCACTCCCCAAATATACCTTGTCACCAATAATCAAACTCTTCCTATAATGGTAGCTGAGCAGGTCTGAGTGAAGAGCTATCCAGCTCATACCCTAATTAGGCAGCCTTGGAGTGGAAGCTGGAGTGGGCACTGGGGTAGAAGGAATTGCTTCACCAACCACCTTTTACAACAAACTATCCAGAGACCTGCCAAATGATGTAGAACCAGTTGCAAAGTCATTAATAGCTCTCCAAGATCAATTAGGCTCCTTAGCAACAGCAGTCATGCAAAATAGGAGGGGACTCGATCTACTAATGGCAGAAAAAGAGGAAGTTTGCCTTTTCTTAAACAAACAGTGCTGTTTTTAGGTCAATGGGTCGGGGGTAGTCAGAGACAAGGCCCAACAACTTAATGAGAGGGTCACAAAAAGGAGAAAAGAAATAGCTAAGTCTTGGGGCTTTTCGAGTAGTATCTGGAGCTAGGCATCCCGGCTCCTCTCACTGTCTGGACTTCTCAGGATTTTTCTAGCGCTCTTGTTTGGTCCCTGCCTCATTAATATGCTTACCCGACTTGTCTCTGCTCGCCAAGAAGCCATAAAGTTCCAAATGCTCCTCCAAAGCTACTAGCCAGTCAATTTACAATAAATAACAGAAAATGATGTCCCTTAGAATGATTAAGAGGGTCCCAAAGGGGGGAACTAAGAGGAAATAAGGCCATGACCAGAGACAAGGGAGAAAAATAAAACCCCTGAGGAGGGCAGATGTCCTAATCTCTGTTTACTGTAACCCCTGTTCCAGTTCCCTATAGGTGTTAACATATCTGGGCAGTTGTCCCAATCTCTGTTCCTCATAGGTGTTGATATGTCTGGGCAGATGTCCTAATCTCAGTTTTCTGCCACCCCCAATTCAAGTTCCCCAGTGTGGTCTCAAATTCCTCCTGGGTGGTCCTGAGTCACACAGGTTGTGACCAAGCCCACCAATGCTGCAGCTGTTAAGGCATGATGCTTGGAGTCAGCGCTGTGGCTCAGTAGGTTAATCCTCCACCTGTGGTGCCGGCATCCCATGTGGGCACAGGTTCTAGTCCCTGCTGCTCCTCTTCTGATCCAGCTCTCTCTTATGGCCTGGGAAAGCAGTGGAAGATGGCTCAAGTCCTTAGGCCCCTGCACCTGTGTAGGAGACCCAGAAGAAGCTCCTGGCTTTGAATTGGCAGAGCTGTGGCCATTGCATCCATCTGGGGAGTGAACCAGCGGATGGAAGACTTCTTTTTTTTTTCTTAAAGATTTTACTTATTTATTCGACAGGTAGAGTTACAGACAATGAGAGAGAGAGACAGAGAAAGGTCTTCCTTCCGTTGGTTCACTCCCCCAATGGCCAGGAGCCAGGAGCCAGGAGCTTCCTCCAGGTCTCTCATGTGGGTGCAGGGGCCCAAGCACTTGAGCCATCCTCCATCGCTATCCCAGGCCACAGCAGAGAGCTGCTCCAGTATGGGAAGAGGAGCGGCCAGGACTAGAACCGGCACCCATGTGGGATGCCGGTGCTGCAGGCAGAGGATTAACCTAGTGTGCCACGGCCCCGGCCCGGGAAGACCTTTCTGTCTCTCACTCTCACTGTCTGTAACTCTCTCTCTCTCAAATAAATAAATAAAATCTTTAAAATAAATAAATAAAAGGCATGATGCTGATTAATCTATAAATATTGTAAGAAACCTGGATTGGGTGCTCAGTCTGGAGAAGTGATACACTGGACCTGTCGATGTTAATTTTAAAGTGATTCTGCCGATTCTTCACTCAGCTTCTGGTACCTGTTTGAACTAAGGGAACTTCCCCAATCCAGCTTTCTGTTAACAGTAACGTTGAAGGAAACATAATTTTCAATAAATGTCTATAAGTAACCATGTGCAACAGTTTATAAATGGCTGTTTACATGTACTGATCCCTTACTGCATACACAGCGGACAAAAGGTAGTAAGCCTTAAAAACACATCTTCCACCCTAAATGAAACACATAATACCTCTTAATGTTTTAAGTATTTTATTTGCTCTGTCACTGGAATTCACTTTTCCCCATTTTCCTTTAATAAATCGATAATTTGATATGGCTTTAAAACAAAAAGAATTTTAAGTTTACATCCACTTCAAATTTGCTATGTAAAAGACGTCCTGGTTCTATGAAGCTGCTTCTGCCACTAGTAGGGAAAATGAAGCTTCTGTAATGGGGGCAGGCCTTTAATGTGGGAATCGGACGTCCACCATGGCTGCTCCAGTACGGGGAATAGTGATGTTTACAGTGTGTCGTCGTAAGTGCTTAATCCACTCCTCCTGAATAGACATTGGTCCGCGAAAAGCTAGGTCACAAAACCTGCAGCGGAAAATGTAAATGTCTTCAGTTTCTTCAGTTAATGGTAGTGTTTTGTTCTTTCTTCCAAATCTTGGCTTTGATTTCTTTCCCTTACATTTTAAAGCTGAGCGGGCCTTCGTTTTCACTTTTTTTGGGCGATACTTTAATGTACTATCTTCACTTAGCGGAGGAACACATCTATGAACAAGACTCTTTCTTCCTGTTGTCTTTGGAACAGAAATAGCAGACTTTATTTCTTTTCGTATTCTTTTATTTTTAGGACATTTTATCGGTTCAAGAGATTGATTCCTTTTTCCACGGGGCAGTTCTGGTTTTGCTTCATCATATTCATTTAAGAAAATAGGTCCTTTTTCTTCCGGTGCAGACACTGATAGATATTTTAGACTATTAGAGTATGCTCCATGAGGTATAACATTTTGATATAGAAAGTCATCATTTGAGGGAAGTTTTTGTGCCACAAATGGTCTAGGAATAGGATGACTGGTGTTTGATGACTCTAAGGTTATTTCTTCTGTTTCTTCCTTTTGGATCATCTCATTCAGATCACAGATTGGAGATTTGTGAGCATCCCATTTGGTTTTTCCAAGTCTTCTCAAGTGTCCTCTAACATGATTTGACAGTCCAATTTTAGAATGAAACCAATCTCCACAGTGTAGACAGGTATGTGTGGAAGTGGATTCAGAGCTCAGTATAGCTTTTCTAACTCGTGTAACAGGTGGCCCTATTCTTTTAAAATGTGGCATCTTGTCACTATTGGATATTTGTTCTGGTGATGCAACAGGACGGTCTTTATAGCTTAACCCTACTTGATGAAGATGATCTTGGACATGACTTGACAACCCTATATCTTTTTCAAATGTCGCTGGACAATAAGGGCCGAATTCCTTCTTAAGAGACAAATCAGTCCAATGAGAAACAGAATTATGCTTTGATAATGAAGTTTCTGTATTTTTTAAATGCTGAAGGTCATAAATATTCTGAAAAAAGTTATTAGTTGCAGCAACTTCATAATGTTCACAATTAAAGTCATCATTTTGATCATAACTAAAGGCAGCATTTTCTTCAGGCTTTTGTTTTTCTACCTGAGGGAATAGTTTCACATCATCTTTATTAATCATATTATAGGTTTCATTTTTTATGGCCTTTCTAGTGTAGTTACCTAGCTCAACTTTGTCGTAGGAACTTTCATCTTCTGTTATAAAACTATCTTTCTTTTCAGAATTAAGGTTTTGCAAAGTAGCAACAGTCATCTTGTGCAAAAAACCTGAATGGTTATCCAAGTCTTTCCCTCCGATACAAGTCTCTTCCATACATACTTTAAGTACTCTTTTTACAGCTGCACTCCTATGGTCTTTGAAGCTTTCTGGCTTTTTGGTGTCAAGGTTAACAGGGTCTGTAATAAAACCACTGGTATGTGAATAATTGAATGATGAAAATAGATGTAGAGAATTAAAAGAACTAGTTTCTTTGTCGAAATGTAGAGGATATGATTCATCTGATATTTTTATCATTCCATAGTTTTCATATTTGTGTCTATACAAATAGTTGCTATCTGCCTTGGCATTTGATATGTCTTTTGCTGCCTGATGAAAATACTTAGGCTTTTGGTTAATGCTGGTTTTACTCATAGCAGTCTTGTGAGGAGAGTTGTTTTGATTGTACATATTGACAACTGACTGGGCAACACTTTTCTGAGATTTTTGTATTCCCTGTGGATGCTTATGGAGTTTTGAAAAATCACTTGATTGTGAGCTTGATCCAAATGTTTGCTTCACATCTTGTTCTAGAGGAGAGTTCTTTGGAAATGTGGTTGACTGTTGTTGAACTAATGGTTTAGTACCATCAACATCTTTAGGTTCTTCAAGGATGTCATTTTTTTCTTTATCAAGTCCAAGAGAACTACCAAATGAATCAACACATGATGATGAATGTAAGTATTCCATGTGCCTTTTTAAAACACTTGTGGCTGAAGTAGAGAAAGGCCACATCCTACCCATGTAGGAAGCTGACTTTTTGGATGATTCTATGATTGAGTCCTTTATAAAAGTCTTTTGTGGTGATTTTTTCTGCTCTTTATCAGAATTGACAGCAAGGCATTTTACCGCCACTCCATGGGCAATGCCTCGATGACATTCCAATTCGTCTTCTGTTACTGCCATGAAGTTACGTTGTTCACAGCAATAATGCCTTTTATCTTTTTCATGGATGTTAGCATTTTGAACACATGTATTAGGGCAATTGGTATCAAACACACACTGATGACACTGTAATTGTTCACTTCTTCCTTCATCTTGAAGTTCTTTGAATTTACGAACTTCCTCCATTTGTTTTTTCTATTTCATATCATGCTGGAATTTGTAGGCAGTTATAAGAAAAGGAAACAAAAGGAGCATGAAGTTTTAAAGGATATGTTTTAGTGAAAGGAAAAGTTTACTTTTTTGTAGTATATATGTCTAAACAGAAAACTCAAGAGAACCTATATCTAATTTGAACTATTAAGACAGATCACAGGTTTAGACACATTATCAATATGCAGAATTAGTACTTTTTCAATCAAAATTAATCAAGTAGATAGTACAACAGGAAAAAAAATTATACAATATCAACCTATAAATATACTAGAAAAATTGTGCCAGATCCCTAAATTAAAGACTATTATTGAATTGAAAGATAAAAGCTGATTAAATGTTTATGTATGGGGAATGAATATCATAAAACTAAATTAATTTAAATTTCAATGAAATTCTAAACATAAGCTAAAGAGATACTTGAGAATTGTATTCTAAAACTAATATGAGATCTATTTATTTTCTAAATTTCACTTCTTCGGGAAGGCTTTTGGCGTAGCAATTAAGACACTCCTTAGGACACCTGCATCCCATACTAGAGTGCCTGAGTTCAAGTTCATCTCCACTTCCAATTTTGGCTTCTTATTAATGAACACCTTGGAAGGCAGTAGATGATGGCTCAAGTACTTGGGCCCCTGCCTCCCACATGGGCGATGCAGATGGAGCTCTTGGATCCTGGCTTCAGCCTGTCCTAGCCCCAGTGGTTGCTTGCACTTGGGAAGCAAACCAGAGAATGGAAGATCTTTCTCTTCCTGTCTCTGTCTTTGTTTGCCTCTCCGTTTTTAAAATAAAAATAAACAGAGAAAATTAGCAAAATTTCACTCCTTGAGAGTAATGAAGAGAAATGGAAGCATATACTCACAGAAAATTTATAAAAAATTTATTCAGAATAATCCAAATATGGAACAGCCTTAGTGTCTATTGAAAGAAGAAATGTGTAATGAGACCATTATATTAATACAATAAAATACAATTATTACAATTAATGCAATAGAATACAATTATTAATACAATAGAATATTTCTCAATAAAAAGAAATGACCTGGTAACACAACATGAATGAATCTCAAAAACAATACATTCCATGTTAGAAAACTTAAACAGAAGAGTAACGCTATATGATCTCATTTATATAAATTTCTAGAAAAGGCAAAACTAACACACTTTTTAAAATACATATTGCTCCTGGGAGGGATGGGAGGGGGCATTGACTGAGAAAAGGTATGAAGTAACATTTTTAATGCAATGGTAATGTTCTCTACTTTGATGGGATTAAAATTGCACAGGTGTATGCGTTAGCTAAAAGTTGGGATAGTGCACTTAAGATTTACACATTTTATGGTTTGTAAATTTTATATCAAAAAATCAAGCTATAAGCAAATCTTAATTCTGATTAATGATATCCATGCTGAAGTATTTTGGAGAGGCACTAATGTCTTCAATTTACTTTAAAATGGTATACTTCTTCCCCCAATCAAGATGCATTCTTTTTAAAGATTTATTTATTTATTAGAAAGTCAGAGTTACACAGAGGAGAGGCACTCCCCAATTGGCCACAATGGTTGGAGCCGATCCGAAGCCGGGAGCCAGGAGCTTCTTTCGGGTCTCTTACATGGGTGCAGGGGTCCAAGGACTTGAGCCATCTTCTACTGCTTTCTCAGGCCACAGCAGAGAGCTGGATTAGAAGTGGAGCATCCAGGTCTCGAACTGGCGCCCATATGGGATGCCGGCGCTTCATGCCAGGGTGTTAACCCGCTGCGCCACAGAGCCGGCCCCCAAACAAGATATATTAATGACTAGTTAGAAGCACTGATATGAAGCAGATGCTTAGCCTACTGGTTAAGAGAACCACATCCCACATCAAATTACCTAGGTTTGAGTCCCAGCTTCATTTTCCTATTCTAACTTCCTGCCAATATACACCATAGGAGGCAGCAATCATGGCTTGAGAAATTAGATTCCTGTAACCCATATGAGAAACCTGGGTACATTCCCAGCTGCTGGCTTTGGCCTCAGCTTCTGTGGGCATTTGGGAGGTGAACCAGTGGAAGGGAGTTCTATCTGTCTTTTTCTCTCTCAAATAAATAACTTTTTAAAGGGAATGATTTTTAGATTCACAAATATGAGATAAAATATTATAGTGAAATGCAAATTATGTGACTACATGAAGGGTATATAATGATTCACTGTAAAATTTTTCCAAATGTTCTGCATCTTTGTAAAGGATTGATAAAATTTTGGAAATATTAATATGGATGACTAAATCTCTAAGAATATTGACAATTTACATAAAAGTAAAGCACTATGAATGGATAATATTTAACAAACTAATTACCAATGCTTATTGAAGTATGGTATTTGAGCAAGTATAGACAGATTAATGAAAATCAGCAGAAAACACACATGCAAATTTAAAGATATATGGAAATTTGAAAGTGACAATTCTGATCAGTAGGAAACGACAGACAATCCAGTAAATGATGTTTTGGGCTAGCATTGTGGTACACTGGATTAAGCTGCCATTTTCAGCACCGGCATCTCATATCAGAGTGCTGGGTCAAGTCCTAGCTGCTCCACTTCTGCTCCAGCCTCCTACTAATGCACCTGAAAAAGCAGCAGAAGATTGTCCAAGTTTCTGTGCCCCTATTACCCTTGTAGGAGATCAGGATGGAGTTCCTGGCTCCTGGATTCCGCCTGGCCCAGACCTAGCTATTTAGAGAGTGAACCAGAACTCAACACTCTCTCTCTCTCTCCCTCTCCCACTCTCAAATAAATAAATAAATAAATAAATCTTTAAAAGAAGAAATGATGTTTGAAAAATTGACTTTACTCATGGAGGAAAACAGAAGTATATTACTAATTCAGATCAGACACACAACATAAATTCTAGAGGGATCAGAAAACAAAAGGAATTAAAGAGGATTATGAAGGAAAAGCTCAAAACTATTGGGATAAAAGCATCACATATTGTCATTAGGATCTCTAGGCAGAACAAAAAATTTCTTTGTCAGACTACAAAAATGTCCATGTCCCAAGTCAGAGTGCCTGGGTTTGATACCCACCTTTGGCTTCTGACTCCATGTTGCTGTTTATGCAAAGCCCGAGAGGCAGCAAGTGATGGCTCAAAAGTAACTGGGTCCTTGCCACCCATATGGGGTACTTGGACTGAGTTCTCCACTCCTGGGTTTTGTCTCAGCCCTACCTTGGCTAATGCAGGCATTTGAGAAGTAAAACAGCAGAAGGGAGCTCTCTCTCTCTCTCCCTCTCTCTCTCTCTCTTCTTTCACTTTCTTTCTTTTATAGATTCATTAGAAAAACTACTTTGGGCCAGCGTGTTGGTGCAAACGGATTAAGCAGTCACTTACAACACAGGCATCCCATGTCAGAGCATTGGTTAGAATCTCGGCTGCCCTGCTCCCGATCCAGCTCCCTGCTAACGTGCTTGTGAAAGAAACAGAAGAAGGTCCAAGTACTTGGATCTCTGTACTCAAGTGGGAGACCTAGATAGAGTTCCTGGCTCCTGGCTTTGGCCTGACCCAGCCCCAACTGCTGTGAACCAATAAAAGGAAGATCTCTTCCTCTCTCACTCTACTTCCCTTTGTCACTCTGCCTTTCAAATAAATCAATAGTTCAAAACAAATACTTTGATTATACCAAATCATAAATTCTTCATAAAAAGAGACACTGAATAGTTTGTTCAAGGATTCAAAATATATTTTAAAGATATAATTACTGCATATATAAAAGAAAAATTAGACATATCTGTAATTTTTAAAGGATTATGTAAAGACAAACAATATATTAGAAAAATAGACAAAAGACTAAATAAACAGAAAACTCCCAGAGAGAGAACCTGAATAGCCAGCAGTGGTAGGAAAATATATTAATCCTTCAAGAAATTAGATACATTGAAAACAATACAATAGTAAAATACTTTTTTTATTTATCTAATTGACAAAAATAAAATTAATTCTGAAAAAAATTGAGAAGAATGTGGGAAAAAATTGAGAAGGATGTGGGAAAAATTGAGGAGGATGTGGGAAAACATGAACTCATACTCAATTAATAGGAGAGCAAATTGGTATAACTGCTTATGGAGAGAAATTTGAAGATATCTATTATTAGAAATGAAAAGTGGCATTCCTTAAGCCCATAAATGTTTCTTGTAGTTATAAGGTCTAGGCAAACTGTTGCATTTGTGCACTAAGAAGTACGTAGATAGCACCATTGTTCTTAGTAACAAAGAACAACATTAACCTATGTATTCTTCAGCAGGGGAAAAGTAAATGAACTGTGAATATTTGTTCAATGACTAGTACATAGCAATTGGAAAGAAGAAATGCGAACAAGAGGCCTTCACCCCTCTTTGTCATGCACTAAAGGCTTATATAAAAATATCTGAGGCACAAAGAAAATGTGAACATGTATCAATTCTAGGACCATACTGCATGGATGCTTGTTACACTATTCTGCTATTTCCTGTTTTGTTTTTTTAAAATTGACCCCAAATAAGGAAATCAAAGAGGAAAATGGAACATTGTAAAGTCTTTTATGAAATGTTTTATCTCTTCCTCCTAGGCTATTTTTCCATCTGCTCTATTACTTACACTGCTCAATTCACTTCTCACTCAAACATTCTTAAATCATTTGTCAGATTATCTCAATGCCAAGTATTGTAGGGAGCTTTCTAAAGAAATTGAGCAAGACAAGAAAGAATATTAGGCACTGTGTTTGACATCTTTCCATTCTGCTAAGAACATTTATTCTTCAAATATTCAAGATTTAATAAAATGTAAAGAGAACTTTTAAAATGCAAGCTTTGTTAATAATGTAAACCTGGAAGGAAAAAAAATAATGTATAAACAACATTTTTGTATATATTCTGTAAATATATATTTAGAAAAACATTTAAATCAGATTGACCTAAATACATAAATTATTATTTTAATTATGCAATACAGTGTTCTTATGCAAAACAATATAGTT